TTCTTACTTTCCTCTTTCCAGCACGTCGTTTTGACACTAGTATCTTAAGTCTTTAATTTGCAAAGTTTTACAAAGACTTACCGAATAGCTCCGTATTGAATGATGTAGTAAATGACGTGCATGCATTTAAAGACGTCATGTCTAAAAAATATAACACATTAGAAATATCACCAATTGGACAAAAACGGAATAGCTACAGCCACATCTGAATCTGATTTGTTATAAAGTGTTTTTATCAGTCGACAACATATCATGCTCTGTTAAGCTTAACTTTAATTTTTAATAATTTATGCATGAGGACGAAATTTTAATATTGTTTAACAACAGTGTGCGTAGTCGTGAATTTTAAGTTCATTCACGAAACAGGAATTACAGGTAAAGAAATTAAGGACAGTTTAAGTTCAAATTAGTATAACAAGCTATCTTATGGTGATGATAAAAAATATTAAGCTTTGTTAATGAAGCTTACAGAAAACCCTGTGAATGACAAGTTTTAGAAGGTAAATGCCGAAGTCACCGTGATATTTAATATTATAAGCAAAAAACGGTTTATAATCCCTGATACCGCCATTGTGATTTGTACGTTGATCAAAACAGCCACAGTTTTCGAGGTTTTCTTTTCGAAATAAATTTCCAAAGCTTTATCTAGTCTGAAGCATAAATAATACTTATTCCTGAATCTCTTTATGAAACCATCCAGCAGCACCATAATCACCAGAATCAACATTTCTAAGGAGTATTTTGCTGCATTTCCCCAAAACAGCATCAGCAACATCAACATTATCGTCAGGTAGAAAACAGGAGTAATTAATATCACGAATTTGCCCTACTATTCCTTTTTTGCCATATGTTCCAACTTTCACTACACTAGGGTGCTCTTCCTGGAAGTTATTTCTGATGTTCCGTTTATGTATGGTAAGGTGATAATTTTTACTGTTTCGTCGGGTTTCTTGTTACTTTTGTCGGTTTGTGTTTTGTTTTGTATTCTGTTTATAGTTCTGTTTATATAATTCCTAAGTTAATTGTTTCTTATAAAAGTGGAGTATAAGTAGTTGGTTCTGTTTTCTTGGCTTCTTCGGTGTCACAATGGGTGTTGATTCTGTTAAAAAGTGTTCGTATGCAGTTTATTTTGTGTTGTGTAGGGTCATTGCTATTGAAATCTAGTATTTGGTCTGTGTGAGTAGTTTTACGGTATACTTGGATGTTTGTCGTGCTCTTCGTTATTAGTGAAGGTTATGTTCTTTGTAGTACTGATGGTGTGTAGGATTTGTTCAATTTGTTTTTCTTGACTATGATGTTTGTGTTGTTTGTGACTGACTGTGTTTCGAGGTGTTGCATACCGGCTTCCGTGAGGAAGATGGATAGTGGTGATCCCATTGGTGTGCCTAAAATTTTTATGTAGTATTAGTTTTGGAAGGAGAATTCAGTGTAGAGGCAACGGTTGAGTAAGTCTAGGATGTCATTTTTCTCTAGTTTTGTTGTAGCTAACCATCTTTTGTCGTTTGTTAGTAGTTCGTTTGTAATTTGTTTGGCTATGTCAAATGGTATGGATGTGAAGAATGATGTAACGTCGTAGGATATCATGGTTTCGTCTGGTCGTAGTTTAATGGTGTCAATGATGGCAAGGAAGGTGGTGGCATTTTTGATGGTGTGAAACTGAAACTGAAACCGAAACTGAAACAACTAAAAGACAAAAACACCCTGACCGAAGACAATTACAGAAGAATCCGACCAAATGGCACATCCACCGCCAAATTCAACAACAGACTCTAATAATATCCACACCAATCACATGCACAATACACCAAAACCCATGGCACGGCATTTACCCCATCCAATCACATTGATCCACCAGCTAATCCAATTAGACGCTTTAAGCGTCTGCAAGCTAGAAACAACTGTAAATAGATATTTTCCTCATTATGATGAAGGCCTCTTTATGAGACATTCATCGCATTCGCGATATGCAAAGCTCACCGTTATAAGTTTGAGCACTGTGGTGACTCTACATTACAATCCGTACAATGTGTAACCTTGCATCCTGTGTCCCAAGTGCAGGAGTCACCATTTTACTGTGGTGATAGACAGGAGGCACATTGTAATACACTTTGTTATATTTACGCTCTGCTCTCAGGCATCGAGCACTGTTTTATACCGAGAATCATCACAGATAAACTTCCTATGTATAAAAAGTTGCAGTAAGAGAGTTACTATTAGTGTATCTAACAAATTTGAAGATAGCATAAATTATACACAGAAATACACCAATTCTTAGAAATATATCGTTTTAATTAACTGTGAATTAAAGCTCCACATGTTTGAATCGGCATCAAAATTTATTTGATAAAATGCTTTCACGTTTACAGTTTCGAGAGAATTTTGTTACACCTACTAATACGGCCTTTAATTATTATCAGCATCACTTCAAATCAATTTCAACAAATGATCTTTTTCAATACTTAAATAAAATACTTAAAAAAAGTTATTGTCAAAATGATTCTTTGGGAAGTAAACTACATTTGTCAGAAAGAACTGCTCAAGCTTTGTCTACAACTATCCCCACCAAAGCTTGATCAATTCAACACATTATCCATGTCAGCCTAACCGTTGCAAAGCTGTTATAATTAAAACATGGAAGTGCAGGAATATCGATAAATGGGGTGCTTATATTAATATATGTAAGTTGTAATCTGAAAAAAAAGGATTTTAATAAAGAAATAAAAGATGTGTGCTGTGATTGCACAGGCTTATGCAAACCGAGGAGACCTGATTTGAAGTGATGCTGATAATAATTAAAGGCCGTATTAGTAGGTGTAACAAAATTCTCTCGAAACTGTAAACGTGAAAGCATTTTATCAAATAAATTTTGATGCCGATTCAAACATGTGGAGCTTTAATTCACAGTTAATTAAAACGATAAGTCAGTCCAAGGCAGAAAGCGAAGGTTGAGAATATGAACGTTGAACAGAATATTATACATGCACTGCATAAAGCAAACTTCATCTTACTATTTTACTATGAGCGTTGCGTGCCAAGACGTGACTACTTCACTTTTTAAAACAGAACGACTGAAGAATTGTCGCAAAATAGGCCCCTGCTTACAACAATGATAGCTAGTACAAGTTTCACTGTGATAACATCAACCAAGTAAGGTTATGCAAGCTACGATTATCAATGTTTAGGGGCACTTGTTATGTATAAAATTGATTAGACAAAACAGTACGTGCTTATGCGGTCAACTTAACACAACTGATAAGCACATTTGTTTAGATATGCCCAAAATTTTAATTCAACTCTGTAAGATAACATATAGAATTATTATTGCTATTTCGAAACCAGTGGCGTGCGGTCATGCAAGCGTAGGCAAGCGCCGCTTGCCTAAGCATTTTACCGAACAAAAATTTTTTGGATCAATCTCTGAGCAAAATCAGTTTAAATTTTTCTGTTCTAAACAATGTCAATGTAATCTTTTGTCTAAATTGTCTTTACAGTTGAAATGCTTGCTATTTATACGCGATTTACTGTCGTGGTTTTCGGTTTCACTTTGCTACACTTGTAAGATGAGTCAAGTGGATTAAATACACCTTAAAAATTTCTTATTTATTAACCAAGGCAAGCGCGCTTGCCTTCGGAGCTCAATTTGAACATTTGCGCATGCGTTAATCTAAATTTGGAGGCTTCTTATTCGACGAATATCGAGAAAAGGCAAGCGGCGCTTCTAAGGGCGCCGCTTGATAGCGATTGGTCAACAGTTTGTACGCTCGCAATTTTAAACACATATCAGCGCGCGAATAATATTCGTATATTCAACACATTGGACATCCGAATTATTCACGCCGTTAATGTTATCGTTTATTAAAAGATGACTGAGAGCGAAAGGTAATGTTCTGATTTCTAATTCAAAGTAGTAGGTGCTTTACTCGTTATTTTATTATTTTCTGTGCACAATGTGCGTAAACAAGCAGGGGCCGCAGTCTGCAGAGATATCGAAATGCACGCAAACGTGTGTTGTGGTAAAGTATGACTAGCATTATGACCAAAACACTATGCTCTTGTCAGTCTTGTGTCGTTGAATTCGTAAATTAATGACTTAAAATAAAAGTTACAAGATACTAAATAATAAACACGACTCTCCGATATTCTGAAACGTACGAGTCAGTGCCAGACTCATTTTGAAGAACGGGAGAACACGTTGCCATGACGTTATTATACCAAAATATAAACATTAAACAACGCCATGGCCTCAGTTTGTAACACACCGTGCCAATTTTGTGCGCGAAACTGGCTGTTCTTAATTGTTATAATCACGACTGCTACAATACATTTCGCGCCTATTGTCTTGCAATTTATGTATGTAGAAGATATTATCTGTGGCATGTAATACAAGATTATGATATTGACAAGAGCTTCCTTTTGCGTATAGTTTTGATATTTGTATCCGGTAGATTTTAGCGTTATATATAAGTCTTTCGTATGAGCTCCGAACGTGAGTTCAATGTACTAGAACGCTATTAAATTTTGTGATTATTTTATTCACTAGCGAAGAAGTTATTTACAACAGTCGTGAGTGTTCTATGTGTTAGAATTTGTTTACAGGCTTTTTATATATTTGGTTAAAGAAGGTGCAGTTATTATACAGCGGATAATGTACTTGAAATTTGAGTAGTTTTAAGGCCCATTTCCACTTCATTCGCAATTCGCAAATCGCATGCGACGTGCGTACACAAGCGAATTCAATACACACTTATCACGATCATCAACGCTGTTAGCACAATTTTCTATTGTTTAATTGACCAATAAAATGAAATTATTTTGTATGGCAAAATTTTGCGGGTTAAATAAAAAACATGGCAGTTTTTTGCAGAAGAAAACTTTTAATATTATTGTTATTACGAAAAAGGTATCAAAAAAGGAAGGCAAAATACAGAAAACGATTTTGGGTCCGACATATTCTCCAAAAAAGAAAAGAGCAAGGAGAGTATGCCAATCTGGTCAGAGAAATGCAACTAGGAGACCACGAAAGTTTCTTTAAATATTTTCGTATGTCACCGATTGTATTTGAGAAATTGTTGCAGTTAGTTGCCCCATTGATTATTAAGTCCAACCAGAAACGGGAAGCCATTTCGCCGGCAGAACGGCTATCAGTAACCCAAAGATATCTTGCAACTGTGGATTCTCATCAAACCATATCTTTTAGTTATCGGTTGGGGCATTCTACAGTCAACAAGATTGTCCCAGAGACATGTTTAGCAATATGGAAGGCACTATCTCCTATCTATGTCCAATGTCCTTCAACAACAAACGAATGGGAAGATGTGGCGAAAGAATTTTGGGAGAAGTGGAATTTTCCATTGTGTATTGGGGCACTAGATGGCAAACTTGTAAGATGCCACTGTCCTGCCAACACTGGTTCATTGTACTTTAATTTTCATGGTTGGTTCAGTGTTGTTTTTATGGCTGTTTGCAGTGCACATTATTCCTATTTGCTAGTGAATATAGGTGCTATTGGTAGTTCAAGCGATGGTGGTATATTTGAACGGTGAGGAATGAAAGATGCCCTCTATAATGGAAGGTTATCTTTACCAGAAGACTGCAATTTGCCCAACACAAACACCACATGTTCTTATGTAATAACTGCAGATGATGCCTTTCCATTAGGACGTCATGTTATGAAGCCATATGGTGGACGGTATTTGGAACATGGCAAAAGAATTTTTAATTACAGATTATTGAGGGCAAGACGAATTAGTGAAAATACATTTGGCATTTCAACTGCAAGATGGCGGATTTTCAAGCGACCAATCGATGCTATACCTGAGCGTTGCATTGGTATCGTCAAAGCTGTGGTAGCCTTACATAATTTCTTAATGTTCCATGAATCAACATTGCCCAGACATGAGCGAAGATATTGCCCACCGGGATTTGTAGATTCTGAAGACAAAATGCAGATATTGTGCCAGGAGCTTGGAGAAGATATTAATAAGGATACAGGCTATCAATCCTTAACCCAAACAAAAATGGTAATGCCTGCAAGAAAAGTGCAAAAGAAATCCGAGACATTTTCAAGAACTTTTTCAATTCACCTGCTGGTGCAGTACCTTGGCAAAATGTGTACATAAATAAATGATGTTTGTTAATGTTGAGTATTAACAGCTAAAGAGCAGAACCAAAATGTTTCCAATCTTGTAAAAAACACATAACACACAGATACTGTAAATTTGTCAAAACTATAACAGTATGTATATATAAGGAAAATCAGCTCATTAAATTGGTAAAGGTTTCTAGCTGTTTAATTTGATTGTTTTTTCTTACACAAACAGTCAAAAAGAACTACCCACTAGTAAAAATAGTTTATCAGGGGTATTGTTGTCACAAAATGCCAAAACATTACATGAGATTTCCGAGAAAAAAATAATAGTATATTCAATAACAAGTGGATCCAGCTCTTTGGTAATTGCTATCTATTCAACATTACTAAACAAAACCTGAGCAGTTCTTTTTGACTATATGTGTATAAGCTGTGAATTTGCCTTTATATGGAGCAGTCAAAACTTTCAAGTACATGTTTTGCACATTTACATGCCAAGACTTAACTAGAATACTCCATCTAGCAGGAGCAATTCAGAAGAAATCATTGATCTTCAAAACTGGACTCAAACTCTGCCTGAAAAAGTAGCTGCTGAATTTGGCATTTTTTATTAATGCGAATTGAAAACAAAGGATCGCATGCGATTTGCGAATTGCGAATGAAGTGGAAATGGGCCTTTACGTAATTATAAAGTTAATTGCTCACCCCCAGCGCTTGCCTATTAAATTCGGTCACCGCACGCCACTGTTCGAAACGTTGTCCTTGTAACGAGGGTCCTATAATATTCATCTATATAGCTCTTCATTACAGTTCATGAAAAATGTCCATGTGGTATTTTTACGGCTGTTTCAATTTACCATTAGTTGAGGGTACATAAAAAGCCATAAATTTTGTACTCGCGTGCACTTTTGATGTTCTACTCATCACCAATGTCGTGCTTCCAAAAACGATTTTGTAATACTCGCATTCAGTGACAAAGCCTTTTCATGAGAGAATGTAAAAAATGAGAACAATGTTATGCTGCATAATCAGAAACAAGTTTACCACAGGGAACCTATCAACAGAATGAGCTTACTTTTTTTATTTTGATACTTTCTCTAAACTAAATTTAGGCACAATCGTTGGAAGTAAGAGGTTGCAGTAAAAAATTGTTATCAGTGTATAACCAAAAATACAACAATGCTCAGAAATACATAATAACTGTAAGTTGCTGTTCAGCGTCTTTAAATCGGTATGAAAATTTGTTTTGTGAAATGATTTCCCCTTTACAGTTGAAGTGGAACTAGATACAGCTAATATTAAGTTTAGATATGCCCCTGAAAACAGTTTTATAAGAATAGCTTTGTGGAATAATCAGGATTTTACGTAATCATACAAAGAAGTTTACAAATTATAATAATCTACTTATTAAATTTTAAAATCTGTCGAAAAAATTAACGAGCAAATCTTCGAAATGGTATAGAAGTAGCCAGAGTTTGTCAAAACAAACCATTCATGTACTACAACTTATGACATAGCCGCCACATTAGACGATTTTAACAAAGCAATTTCCTTGTTTGATGTTTACGATGAAAATGCTATCAAATATGTCAAATATTTTTTTAGTCTTCTTACTCCTAACGAAATGATTGCACACTGCTTATATAGCAGCTTAATTTCATATTTAAATATATTCATTACAATGCTTGCTACTTAACTCAAAAATTCGCCATTATTCTTCATTTGCAACCAATATGTTGAGATTTGCAAAACTATCCATTTCGCCCACACTAGCTGAAGCCACAATAATGTTGATAAAATTTTATTATGGCTGACGCGAAAAACATCAATAACACCATTGATATCTACAATGTCCACTATGGAGAGCCACTAAATGCAATCTGTAACAGGTCGTATATTTTGTGTGTCATTCCATGTCAAAAGCATCTACTGTTAAAGGAAGGCATTTGTTCTCATTTGTAAAGGAAGGCATTCATTGCTCAATAGCAGGCCATTAAAGTAGGACTCTAAACTTATTCCACACATATAAAAGAAAACCAATGTCTCTGCTTGTCATTTTTAACTCGCCATAAAGAATGTACTTATCATTGCTATCTCGTAATATATTTGTAGTCAGATAAAGTCTATAAAATATGCAATGCAGAATTGCCAAAGACCAATGATCAAAAAAAACTGTTTAAATCCATGGGGAGTGAATCAAAAAGGCAGTAGTAACTTATTATTAATGAATATCTCCTTCGTTTTACAATAAAAAGATGTTTAGCCTCTTGAAATTGTAAAACGTGTAACTATGACTACCATTAGTTCAACTGCATTGCAATTTTACTTTATAGTATTTAATGATAAAAGATAATGCAGCGTTAGTGATATCTGTCCTCTTACGTCATTAGCAAAAAGTCTTCAGATTCAAGTACATTTAATTTTTTCTTTAAAATCAAAATACTTTCATCAAAAACGAACAAAATTTTAATGCTCTGAAAATTTACAAAGTAAATTTCTGCACATTTACCTTAAAAGATAGCTAAAGTCCATAAGTTTACTTTTTACGATAAACTTTACATTAATTTGGATACTATAGAAGCTTGTTTATTGTAGCTATCATCCTTTATTGAAATTTCATTCTATTGGAAGAAGCAGTATGATTAATTCCTTCTGCTTCTATATAGAATTCACAATCCTCTAGATCAAGCATTTTCAAAGCTTTATCCAATTTTAAGCATAAATAATAATTCGTGGAATCTTCATAGTTATCATAATCATCAAAACCATAATCATCATCATCACAATCATCATCAATGTTGCACACGCCATATGCAAATGGCTGCCAAACATCTTTTCGATCTTTAAAATAAACAAGAGTTCCTGAGTCACCTTTTTCCAGAAATGAAGCACTACTCTTTACCTTGACGGCATTTTTGAAAATTGTTGTTGAATTTTCGTCAATATACGAAAAATTTCGTTCAATGATAAAACCAGTGACGTGATTACTGGTACGAACTTCAACAACACCTTTATTGCTGTTTGCTTTTTTGTAAACCTCTTCGTTTATTTCTTTGAAATTCAAGGCAAGCCTCTCCATGTCATCTCCACCAAGACGCTGAAAATTTTCTTTATTTCCAACTGGAATACACATGATATCTGCTTCACTGTTAAACTTACTAACAGTGTTGCAGGGAGCAGTACTAAGTTGTATTTCCTCATTGGAGTTGTGTGGATGGTAGAAATACATGTTAACATCATTTGCATTTCTGGTATTTATTACATCGGTTATTTTTGAAATATCATTTTGTAAATCTTTGGTGTTACAAGCAACATGCGCGCAGGTTAATGCATAGTAATTTTCATTTTTACAACAGAGCATTGTTAAGGCACCGCAACAGCTGTAGCCATCACTAAATTTCTGCGACAAATTCAATGAATTATTCCTGGCACTAACATTACCTAACATTTTAAACTTGTGTATGGAAAAAGGATCACAACGAAATTCGATGAATTTTGAAGCTTTCCATCCAAATTCTTTATTGATCCTTTCTTTTAAAATTTCTTCATACATTCTTTCATGTTCATGAACTGTGACATACAAATGTTCAAAAGGCATGTTTTTGTTTTTATCTTTATTCACTATTCCATAAGCTCCACGAATCCAAATGATACTAAAAATAGTGCAGAATAAACAAGAAAGTAAACTTGTTAATTTGTTTGAGTTTCATAAGATTCTGCTACTGTTCAAACACAAAAAGAAGTTATCCGTATCTATGATGTGGACGCAAGATTGACTGGAATTGTTTTCTACAGAGGTGAAACAATTTTCAAAACTACATATAAATATAGACAAAAAATGGTTATGGAAACCAACAATAAAATTTTCTTTATATATAGTTCTTCATATTTGATTGTACATTATTAAAAGTTGTATTTATTATGTAAATTAAAATGTCTAGCTTTCAAACAGGTGCTATTAATACACTATAAATATTTATTTTTCATCATAGCTAGATAGTTTAACGACTAAAGCATACTTTACACATAAATACTCACCGTTTGAGTTTATTGAGGATGTCGTCTCGAATGTTGTAATCTTCGTCAAGAAACATATTTCTGAAGACTTCACGTACTCCCAGGCTCTAAAATGATATGGAATGCTGTATGAAAATGGTCTATTTGAAGAAAATTTGATAAACACGTAATTTACACTGCCACTTGATTCAATGCAAATGTTTGAGATCTGTGATAATGTAATGACCTGCATACAATTACAAATGGAAGGCCCTCTAGATATTCTATGTCAAAATGTTGCCTCGTACAATGGTTATGCATGAATGCTACATTTGCTGCCAGGGAAAATCTAAAGAAAGTCAAAATAAATCTATTACCAATAATTTTGTTTTGAAAGTAGTTAGAAGTTGAAATTAAGCATAAAAGTTGATTCAGCTATATAAAATGTAATCTAAGATTATGTTTACGTGCCTTGAAATTATTTGAAATATAACAAAAAAACTTGATGATATACTTATAAAATATATTACAGTTGATTTTAATATATTTTACTTTCCAATGCCTCCAGGCCCTCCTTTTCTATCCTTTCAATGTTTAAAGCAAAGCAAGAAAAATTGAGTTTATGTTATTACAAGTCATCATCAGAGGATAAGAAATTATAAATTTGACACGGTTTTATACTTATGAAAAATATGTGGTTTAGACGAGATTTGAGCTCTTGGGATTGTTATATATGATAGCATATCATGTAATACTCTAGAAGCATCTTACAACTGACGGGGAATGCTGTACATATATACCTTGTAAATCTGTTGCAATATCTCCACGGCAAATTTTGGATAAAACATAAAATAAAGTTTTCGAAGAAGGGTTTCTTTCAATGTTTCTCTTCCAATGAAGAAGTATTTGAATTGCTTTTTCCACCTCTATGTTCATCTTTGTTTATAATATCCAACTTATTACCAGTTACCCCTAGGTTTCTCACAAGCTCTTTCCATGGAATACTTACTTTTTTACCAATTTCATGGACAAGATCATCTTTTGAATCACCGACCGTTTTTGCAGCAACTTTATGTTCTACATATGTATTAAGCATGAGTTCATATGGACAGTGACTTGATTTTTAATTTATCATCACTTTCAATTTTGATAATAACATGAACAAAATAGTTCCACATTTTGTATGAGTAATTAAACTTCACGTTTAGATACTACGTTCGTAGCGCGCCAATGTTGTTAAAGAGGCTTAATTACTTGAATTAAATTACTCTTATTATTGCATAGTCATAAGACCTTAAGTAACTGCTGATATAACCATTACATTCAATTATTCCCAAACAAAAAGTACGTGTTTGTAAAAGCATTTCTCATATGTCTAACAAAATCTCTTACAAAACAAGTGAAGTTATAAAGGATTCTATTAGACAATAATTGCTGCAATTTCAAATCGCTACGTTTGAATTAAAAATTTTATAACTATGGCGTCTATCCCAGAGCAGCACTTAATGAGAGTGAATTCGCTTGTTTCGAGGTTTGGTAGATTGCATACAAGTCAATAATTTACCCTCACTTTCTAATATTAATTCCATGACTAGTATCGTGTTTTCATCAACAAGGTGCCCATAATCGCCTTTCACAACAAAGTCCTTTTAAAAGAAACTCTAGAATTTGCCAAGAATTAATACAAAAATGTTATGCTGCATGATCAGAAACAAGTTAACCACGGGAGACTATATTGAATAGATCAACTTATTGCAACTATTTTTGTATCTTGCCACGTTAAACTGATGAATCAAATATGAAAATTTGCAGTAAAAATTTTGTACACTGTATTTGAAACAAATACATTAGCCATGAATAGATAGCATGATTAATACACAGAAATAACCAATTGGTAAACGTAACAATGGTATTAATCTTAACAACAAGCGCAATGAATTTCGTTTAGCGAAATACTTTCTACTCGTCATATAGGTTTCATTTTTTTCTGATAACAAAAATCTTCTCATATTGTAAGGTTTAATAGTTTGAACAATTTATATCATTAAGAAACTTGCTTATACAATCTTATACAATAAATAATACGTCTGGTTAGTCAATTAAATTACAAAATATGGATGCACTGGTTAGCACTGACATTATAATCATAATTTTATATATATTGAATACGCACAATCTTACATAATCTTAAATATAGATGTACAAATTAGAATGATAATAATACACTTGTTAAATTACTGGCTATACATGCGTGATATAGTTTACGGATCCACCACAAGTCACCACTGTCACGCAATAATTGATTAAATATTGTTTGCTAACACTTTATTAGACATTAATTTTTCATGAGAGGAACTAAGATTCTTTCCAAAAAGTTCACAATCCTCTAGATCAAGCATCTTTAAAGCTTTATCTAATTTTAAGCACAAACAGTATTTCTCGGCACTTTCAATATCATCATCTATTTCGCACACTGCATAAGCAAATGGCCGCCACTTATTTGCTTGATCTTTGAAATAAACAAGTCTTCCAGAATCACCATTCTGCAAAAAAGAATCCCTACTTTGTACCTTCACAGCATTTTTGAAAATAGGTGTCCTTTTCTCGTTAATGTACAAAAAATTTCGTTCACTGATAACACCAGTGGTGTCATGACTTGTACGAACTTCCACAACACCTTCATTGTTCTTTGCTGTTTTGTAAAGCTCTTCATTTATTTCATTAAACTTCAAAACAATATTATCCATTTCATCTCCACCGAGGTGTTGGAAATCTTCTTTCTTTCCAATTGGAATACACATCATATCAGATTCACTGTTAAACTTACTAACAGTTTTGCAGGGAAAACTACCGAGTTGTCTTTTCTCGTCAGAGTTGAGGAGCTGGTAGAAATACTTGTTACCATCGTTTTCATTTCTGGCATTAACGTTATCCATAATCATCATAACCTCATTTTCCTCACCAAATGTTTGTGTCGATGAAAGTTGATCTGTAACAAAAGCAACATGTGCACATGTCAAGGCATAAAAGTTTTCATTCATAAGACAAAACATTGTCAGAGAGCTGCAAGAAATATTGTTCATTTGAGAAGTATCATTGCGAGAACTATTACTGTTGAGACTATCGTTATTTTGAGAACTGTCGTTACTCTGAATCTGTATGTCACCATTTATTGGTAAGGTACTATCCTCAGCACGGAGGTTTGATTTATATCGAAAATTTAGTTTTGGTCGTTTATCTCGGAATTCAATAAATTTTGATGTTTGCAATCCAAGCTTTTCATCGATCTCATTTCTCAAAATATCTTCTGATTTGTTTTCCTTGTTATCAACTGTGACATACAAATGTTCATATGGCAACTCTTTGTTTTTATTTTTATGCACAGTACCAAGGGCTCCACCTAACCACGAGACTCTAAAAAAGATGGATTAGAAAAAATCAAAATCATTGTATGATCAAGTTTGATAGTTTCTTCATATTTGGGAAAAGCAGTCTTAATACAAGATTAGCATACCACTTTATTATTCCAAAAACAATTTTTCAGTCCTCTCTATAAAAAGTACTCACTCTTTTAATTTGTTATGGATCTCGTCTCGAATGTTGTAATCGTAGTCGAGAAAGTTTTTAACCCATTCACCATCATTATAACCTTGATGGGAAATACAAATAGTTAAGCACAATGCACACATATTTCTCAGACATGAATGTGTGCAAAATATTTGAAAGCGATATTCTCAACATACCAAAATGTTACTGAAAGCCATTTTACCCAGTCCTTTTTTAATGGATCTGTGTTTTATTAATAACTTTTTGTGAATGATTGGGCATGCATGATCCAATGCATTCAAAACATTTGAAAATCAAGTAGTTTTTTGCACAGAATTACTTCATGATGTACATCCTGATCATGATCTCATCATGATATACACAGCTAAATCCATGATCTACATCGTAACTTACATTGCTACATCCGTGATCTACATCATGATCTGCACTCCTACATCTATGATCTACATCATGATCTGCACTCCTTTATCCATGATCTAAATCACGATCTACACTGCTACAGCCTACATCCATGATCTACATCATGATCTACACTGCTACATCCATCATCTACATCATGATCTACATCATGATCTACACTGCTACATCCATGATCTGCATCATGATCTACACTGCTACATCCATGATCTACATCATTATCTACACTGCTACATTCATGATCTACATCATGATCTACACAGCTAATGCCTACATCCATGATCTACGTCGTGATCTAAATGTAATCTAAATTCAAACTTACCATCATCTTTAATATCTTCATAAACTGGATCATCTCCTGTCGTCTAAAAATTAGGGCGTTCAATTTATAAACCAACTGGTGCTGATTTGAGTCTTACGACGTCCCTATTATTGCAACGGTCTACATTGAACGAGCATATATATGTATGACATATCTCTCTGTTATTTAAGACGACACTTGGTTTTAATACACCATAAACAAAGCACTTATTCCATATAGCAACTATCTTCAAAGCATAAAAGTTGAATCACTTTAGCAATGAGTCTAGCTCATTTCTTGAAAGAAGTTTCAATACACATGCAGCTTTTTAGACAATAATTGAATTTCAATTGCATTGGTAAATCTGCAGTAGGTGTAGTCTATGCCTGTTTAAATTAAATCTAAAATACATTTTTGGTAAAGTGTTTGTTGCTTTTTTCTCCTCAAATTGTGCATTCTTTTAAAGTTTATATAATACATAACTGGTACTAATACAAACACTTCCATCGTGACAGCTAAATTATAAATATGCGCTCAATATTTCTTTCACCTACACTGCCATCATACCTTAATAGCTAAGAAAAATACACCACCAATTATGCAACATGTACCTTAAGGTAAAATGTGTCCGCTATTTGCTGTGCCAGCTTTTGTGTTATTTGTTGTGCTTTCACAAACTTTGCAAGAAGAGCGAGCAGAACCTCTTCCTCTGACATTCTTTGGTTAACATTCAAGCCTCTACTCTTGTTCTCGTCATTTGTGTCTGAAAGTTAAATAATTACGATCACTTCATGAGAAGGCCTCTAAGCGATTTTGCACTTTCATGGTGATTTGCGAAATCACGGGGGATTTAGAATCAAAAAATGTTGCGAGATTGACCGAAACAACGAGGCAATTATAAGAATAGAAAAATTCAAGCAATCTGAATTTCTTTGTTAGCAAAATAATTATAGGAGATAAAGCTCATAAATTCATGCAAAACCTAGAAGTAAAAACAATAATTTTATGCTTCCACTTTCTGCTCTACTTTTGAGTGAGTTAACAGCAGCATACCAAAGCTAATTATTTGCGTTTAGCTTCAACTTTTTATATTATGCACCGTCTCGGTCTTAAGAAAATATTAGACAATCGAATGTAAATATTTAGCAAGTACAATGACTATAAAGAAAAAATTTCTCGACCATTTACCTCTTCTTTTAAAAAATAGAGCTTTCTAATATAGTTGTATTATTATATTACGTAAAAATTAATTTACTTTATAAGGTTTTCAAATCAAAGTCAGGCATCCTACCGTCACAATTGCCTTCATCCTTTTCTTTGCCACCATCCATGAAGATATACTGATAATTATTGACAATGTATTTATCATAACAATCTTCCACGTTTTTCCATGATCGAACAGTTGCGTAATCGTAAACAAGATTACTCTCGCTCTGAAAGTAAAAGAATTTTAACGATAATGATTAAAACAATAGGGGAAAACAAATTATTAACATAAACACAATCACCCATAAATTTGAAAATGATAACTAATTGCAAATTGAGTTTAAAACAGATTATAATGAGTTTGAACACAAATTATAATGAGTTTGAACACAGATTACATTGTAATATAATAATGAAAAATGCTTCTAATGAACAGTTTTTTATTTTACTGCTGCCTTGCAATTTGCAAGTAGTATTACCTCACATATAAGTTATATAATTATTAAAACCAATGATTTGCAAGACAAAAACGTAGACTGATGTGAGCCCAAATACACGCTTGCAACAACAGACACTAACAACAACTAGGATTTTCACACACTACAGGAAAATCCTCCAATCCACGATACCTAGTTGGCGCAATTCCAGACAACCTGCATGATTTGATGACTTGAAATTTTATATATGCAGTTCATGTAACTCAAGCAATCTTCTCATTTAAGACATTCTTTTTTAATTTTGCAAATTGAATTCTTCACTCAACCACAGAATGACTGTACACAATGGTCACTCAGGTGTTCAACGTGTCGTCACGTCGGCCATTACTTCAGCCAGTTGATTAAGGTTTGTTACTGGTTTCCAACCATTAAAATTGCATGACGTAAATACTTAATATTGAATTCGAGAATATTTTGACTTTGGAAATGACTTCGGATTATCAACCGGCCACCATGCGCGGCCAAAACATTAAAGAGTCCGGAACCTTCTGTGTATTCTTATTCTGTGACTTGACGTTCAGAGCAGCTCATTAGCTTTTAGGATTTTTGTAAAATCTATCGTATTTTTATTTCAGTCTAATCTTTTTGTAAATTTGACAAATGTAAATATTCTTTACACTTATACTTTTACTGCAACCAAATTCATATGATTCTAAAGATGTCTTATTTCAAGACGAAACGTAACTATCAACGCAAATCAAATTTAATACCAAATGGCATTGTTTCTGCTCTCTTAGTCTCTTTCTCAGTGTATTTTTACAAATAAGGGCAAACTATGCCCAGATAACTACCTTGACGTCCTTCAAGTCTTCATATTTAGGGTTGAAGATTTCAAGTAAATGGTGCACTGTATTCAAGGGAGCATCCTCTGTCTTTAGAAGGCGATAAGCGACATCTTCACTACATTCGAACTCAAAATCAATTCCTTTAGCAATTAGCTGCTCGGGGAGTCCGAATCGCTGATGATGAATTGTCACTTTTGTTTTTTCTGCACGAGAGTTTACTGGAAAATATTTGAAAATACGTTATAATTGTAATAAAAAAGAAAATTAGAAAAATCTTTACTTCTCAAACAAAAATTTTATCAGACAAGATGAAGCTGAGAAATAATTTATACTGACTTGAAAATGCGGCGCTACACCACAAACTTACTTGGTGTGGTGAATTTCAATGTGAAATCGTTGAGAAATTCACCATGAACCCTTAAGTCACTCTGATTTCCTTTAAAGTTAACAAAATATTGCCCCTTGCTTGGAAGAGGGTTTTGAAATGTGACAAGGACATCAGTTTCGTCCTGGAGGTTGGAAAAGAAGACAAAATTATTCTGGAATTGGTAGTATAGTTGAGTCCTCGCATGAAAATCAAAGCGAAAAATGACGAATGAACTATCCGTTGAACCAGACAAAAACTTTATTAAAAAATTTCTCTTATATGTAACCTTTTTGTCGTATGTAATCTTTGTGTTTTAATGAATTAGACCATAGTACTTCGGTACCGAAGTGGTGTAATCATATTATTGCGATTTGTAGTATTATAACAAACAGTACTTACTTTACAACAAGCTCTTGAAGGCACCATTACTTGGAATTCAAACTTTTGCAAATCTAAAAAACACAAACAGATCATAGAAATGAAATTTTATGCTCTGTAGTTATTAAAAAAATTAATAATATATTTCTAACTTTACATTGCATGCAATTGACTTACGCTAGGCATGGTATAAACATGCATTATTAATCCACATACCTCGATTGCCGTTTCCGTTAGGTGGCTAATAATTTATAATAATGTAATTCGCTTTAGTTTTTTTTATAAAATTATGATCATAATTTCATCAGAATATATACCTCGAATTCTGCTATAATATTTTTAGGCAAGTAGCCAATTTGACCCCGGAATCCAACATACCACCAATAATCATCACTTTTATCAAAAATCGCCACTTCTTGTCCTTTATAAACTGACAACGCATCTTCGTATTCGCTGTCATATCTAATCAACGTTTTCCCTCGAGATTTGATCTTGATGGCTTCGTCAGTAACATGCGCTGCCAAGTTATTTACAGGCACCAATCCAGTTTCTCCATACCGATTGCTTACCTTCCACCAGTTTTCATCATTTTTGCTAACAACGTTCAGTAAATCGTTTTCTTCTACTGATAGCTCATCGTCAGCAGTGTTTTTGAAATCAGATAAAGCGATTGCAACAAGAGGCATAGCTTACCTAGTAATAAAATAAATAAAAAAAAACCTTCACATCCAGACACAAAATAATTATATACAATGAAAGTGGCTCATTCCAAGTATCTTTACAAATATCTGCCAGTTTGCCAGTCTGTATATTTCTTAGTTGCTTATATAATTGAGGAGATATAGTTTGTACTTGTCAACATGCTCAAACTTTTATTTAAAATATACATCCATTCTCGTTTCATAATCACAAATTGGATATTTTATTTATGAAACCACATACAAGGAGTTCTTTCTAGAAAGCACTGCGCATCAAAATCATACTAAGTAAAAAAGCAACATTTCAAAACACTTTTTGTTTCCGATTCTGCAGAACATGGAACACAATAGCAAAATCTCTACAAACTTAACTTAATGTTGCTTTCTTTTATGCGTTGTTTATTTAATTGATTTTTTCACTAACTTCCTTGTACAAAAAAATTTGAGAAATGGTTCCTGTATATGATACGCAATACATAACATAATAATAGGGTAGTGTAGCACAATGTCTAGGGTGGTAATTTAACACAAAAATTTAAAAAATTAGTTTCCTGTGTACATATACGTAGTATTTTACTTCAAACAAGTAAGTTGTTAAACAAGTGCAAACCATCTCAAAAGGAGCAGTTTTGAAAGAAAATTTCGGCATTAAAACAAAATGATTAAGACAATAATTAGTTTCAACTTGACTCGCGTAATTTAAATGTAGTCTGATATAACTACGTGCAATTATTATTCCAAATATGGGCAAACCTAGCTACACAAAAATATATTGCGAAAACTGTAATAATTGGGTTTTTACATACAGAACGTTGTATCATCTTAGTAAACACTTTCAATGTTATTTTCCACATAAAATTTGGCGCGTTTACTGATAAACTTTGGGGCTGAATGTAGCTATATAAATTAATAAGACGACGTCATGATGAATTTGTCGGCAAATGTATTTACAAATATTTCCCTTGGGAAATATTGAGCATCCCAGCTACATTTTAAAATTGTCTCTTGCTAACATTCACGAACTCATGATACATGTTGAATACACAGTTAAAAAGTTAAAATATAATAGAAAACGTAAACTATACAATTTAATTTTTTCTTAAGGGATATGGAAGTTTGTTATACTTAATTTAGTAAATTGACGATTTAGTAAGGCAGATTTACTTCGGATAGACAAATTAGGAATCCAGAAACAACCAATATCAGCACTACATCAATTAAACAAAACTTATCTAGCGGAAGTCGTGGCGTTGTCTCACACAAGAATTGAAACTTTGTATATTAAATTCAGTTTATCGATAAATCAAATTTCAGAAACAATGCAGCAAACCATTTAAAAATCAATCGATAAGTAGCAAATTTTTCACACCAGCCATATTTTACAAAGATGGAGCTCACAATTACATATGGCGAGTTCCGTCTTCCGAACTTTACAGCTACGTGTACAAATTAATAACAATTGTATACTTACTTCTTGCTACAAAGCTTTACAAAAGTAGCTTCAACTTCTGCTGACAGAGTGTATCAAGAAAGTCACGGCTACCAAAGCTGATTATTCGAATTAAAGCATGGTGTGAAATTTTATACGTCAGAAGAAATTATGTAAATAGGGGAATCCCAACATAGGTATGTAGAATTACAAAGAAATAACTGTGCGAACATACCCTGGAGGAGCAATGTGCAAATTATTTTATAATTTTATTTTATGGTAATCATTTCTTATCAAGACTTTGATTATTATGGCATTTATTATTATGGGGAATCCCAACATAGGTATGTAGAATTACAAAGAAATAACTGTGCGAACATACCCTGGAGGAGCAATGGGCAAATTATTCTATACTTTTATTTTATGGTAATCATTTCTTATCAAGACTTTGATTATTTTGGCATTTATTATTATGGGGAATCCCAACATAGGTATGTAGAATTACAAAGAAATAACTGTACGAACATACCCTGGAGGAGCAATGTGCAAATTATTTTATACTTTTATTTTATGGTAATCATTTCTTATCAAGACTTTGATTATTTTGGCATTTATTATTATGGGGAATCCCAACATAGGTATGTAGAATTACAAAGAAATAACTGTGCGAACATACCCTGGAGGAGCAATGTGCAAATTATTTTATAAATTTATTTTATGGTAATCATTTCTTATTAAGGCTTTGATTATTATGGCATTTAACACATGATATCAAGCAGTAGGAGAAATATATTAAATAACCTTACCAAAATCTTGAGCAACTTTCACATTTCTTACAACAGCTTCACCATTTTTAAACTTTGGATATTGCACTTTAACCTCGGGTACTCCATTAACCTTTTGATTATTCCTGTCCAAATTGCTGTTTAAGTGAGTAACAGCAAGGATATGCCTTCATGAAATATCAAATTGCATTCAATTTCTTAAAAGAGTTTAAATTGGCACCAGGGAATAAAAACTGTAATGACACATAGATGTTTCATCACACATGTTTCATAGAATAACTGCAGAATATTCCAGAAAAAGAATAGCTGATCATTTTGGGTGCAAACTGGTTAAGAACTGAGTGAAATCCCTCCAATGCACTTGTGTGAGACATTGGAGAAGCTTTGATTCCAGCAATCAACCTTGGTTTAGTTAAAGCTGCATACATCTTATTGTATGATATAGAATCTAAAGACAAGGCAATGAATAAGAGATTATTACACACAGAATATTTCATTTTAATAGCAACAAGAATTGTTTTAGACTTATTACCTTCATTTAGCCATTTCCATGGTTATATGATGGAATCATGAGCACATTGGTCAAATAAAGGGTCTGAAAATCCACTGTGTTGGCTTTCGACATGACCAAGGAAAGATTTAAACTTAGCCACAATCACATTTCCATTACCAGAGGGTGTTGATATAGCACTCCAGTACAAACAGTTGGAACAAGGTCTTATCCAGCTTGATAAAGACTCACGTCCAGCACATTTTGCAAGTTTGATCAGGACTTTGGTCACTTCTAAGATGAAATATAAAATATGTTTTAGATAAACACTTCAATTATTGATGCCAATATAGGTAGTAAATTCATTAATAAAAAAAATCATTACTTTTTGTCAAATGCCAAAGGTCAAAGTAGTGGGTAATACTTGGACAATTCTCTCTCATATGTTTAGCAATTTTGTGTGCCTGTCAGTGATTAACATGGAGATTAGAATATTGCAAGATTTAAAAAATCCATTGATCTTTTAAATCCCTCAAACTCCATACCAGCGCTATTTCCAACTTCATTTCTCTACAAAATAGCAAATAGGTAAATAATTTTAAAGAAGATAATCACATAATTTAAAGAAATGTACCTGCACAAGAGAAAAACTAATGATTTGAGGTACTGTGCAACAGAATGTTGTATATGCACAATATTTAGCACTATGTCCCATGGAAAAATGTCTTCTATCACCAGTAATGGCATTAGGTTGTTTACATGCCATCACTTTCTCTATTAAACTCTCTTGGTATTTTTTCCAGTAGATCACCAATGCAGGATATAGTTTTTCCTACACAAAATTTTAAAATAACTTTCAAGCTTTTCATTTGATTGTAGTAATTTCTTTACAACTTTCTTTTACACCATCAGATAAGTCTTACACACTGGTAAGAGAAGTATGTATTCAATGAAATGCATGCCAATCCCATGTGCTGTACAACTTTGATCACCTTTGTGGCAGAGGTTCCAGCAGTCAAAATACCAAATGACAATAGTAAATTTCCAGCAGGAATGAAAGTCCCAGTCATGACTGGTTGACTATTTCATGTTGTGTCTACTCCACATTTTTGATTGGAACAACTAACTTTCACTTTTGCCTATGAAACATTTTGCAATATCTCAACAAGAACATCATCTGATTTGCAAATTGGGCAGAATTTAAAAAGTGCAAACAGCTGGGTGAAGAACACAATGAATTTTTTATCTGTTCTTAGGTTGGTGTCTTCGTGTCTGTTGGTGTAGTTGAGCACTACCCTGAAATTGGCACCAGATTGGGCATCACACTCAACACAACATTCATCACAGCATTCATCACAATAATCATCACCACATTCAACTAAAACTTATCATTCAAAATGATAAATTGAAAAATCGTCTTTAAAACACTTTTTCTATCAAATACAACATTAAAAAACAATTCTTAACTACTTATTAATATTTTACTGTCCTTAAACATAACAAACAAAGTATAAAAGTCATGACATTGAAGAAAACACTAAGCTTTATGTTACAGTGTACTTTTCATTTCTCTTAATTAGTGTAATAATTTAAAAACTACACGGTAGAATTTTTAAACTTGGCCAGAATATAGATAATTATATTGTCTAAATTATATCCAAAATCTGGATAGTACACAAAAAAAAAGTTGTAGAAAACCATCGACAAAATTAGGTTACGCGAATGCGCGTAACATGATCTTATATAATTAAGTTAAGAATTTCAAATCATTACTAAACAAAGGCCTGTAAATAAAACACTACATAGTAGAAATTTTTTAAAATTGGCCATACTGTAGATAATTATATTGCCTAAGTTATATCCAAAATCTGGAGAGTGAACAAAAAATAAGTTGTAGAAATTCATCGACAAAATTAGATGACACCAATGCGCGTAATATAATCTTATATAATTAACTTCCTATATCCATGTATCCATACTCACAGAGATTATATTAATGAGAGTCAGTACACTGGCATTATAGATGGCTTGCACATTGATGATACAATAGGAACTGTAATGGTGAGTATAATTGGCAAACGAATTTTTCTTAAAGAGTTCGCTGAAGGGCTGAAAGTTTCCGGTGTACTGCAAGCAGTAAAGAAAATGAAGAAGTACACAAAAATGTTTTGGTGAAGGGGAAAGAAACTCGCGATGTAGATGCAAATCATCCCTTTTCTCTGCTGTGCCCTGATTATTCTGATGATGGTACTTCAAGAAGAATGCTTAAAGAAACCATCACGGATAACATTCAATATTTCTTCAAAGCACTGGGAGATAATCACATATCTGGATACAAAGAGGAAATTGCATGGAATGATACCAACCCCGCTAAAACTGATCAGTATGCTGATGATGATGGAGAAGCGGATTAAAGCACACAATCCATAATGGCAAATCTCACACTTTCAGGTATCTTAAGTTGGCTTACAGGGCAAAAACATCGGTCATTAAATGGTGATATTTTAAAAATAACTGTCAGATTTGATCATGATTGCCTATTAAGGAATCCTAATCATATAACCTGCTTTCCTATTGTTGGAGCTTGTGGCCGTACCATAACAATCTCTGTTGCACACATAAGCAAAACTGATGATTTTCAGCATATCCTTTTGCTAGCAATATGTAAGGGTGGTGTTTTTGCAATTCCTTAATTTTCCAAAACTAAGTTGTAAACAAGAGAAGCATTTGAAACTGTATAATTGACACAGACTACAAGAGTATAGTTTAGTTTACATAAGTTGATGTTGGGTTTAATTCACAGCAAATCGTTTGGCTGTTACTTTATTATATCGTAAATATTATAAGATGTCACCACAGTTATTCAGACATAGTAAACAGAAAATTATATTAAATGTTATTATCGGAAAAATTCCATAAACTTCAGATTTACTGATGTTAAATAGCCATGATAACCTAACAATTAAAAAACAATTTCTGTAAAATTAATGCTCAATTTCAGCTCTTTTGTAATAACAGTTATTTTGCAATATTTTGTCATCAAAGTGCAGGCCTTGAAAAGGCAATCCGTTCAAACAGGTATAAAATCAATGGTCTTTTGCTATGTAAATTAATTCATTGTAAAGATCCAAGGCTTGTCTCCAGTCTAAAGGCTGCTTTAACCTTGCTTCAGCCATGACGTGTACAAAGTACTCTTTGTATTCGCTTTTGTTTTATTCAAGTTAATTGGTCTGTAGAACCTGGTCACACTGTTGTTGACTTAAACGTTGAAGAAAATCTTCTGAATCGTGTCTCTCGCGAAGGTAATATAACTAATTCAGCCTTCCTTGTAAGGTATCAAACCTTGATCTTCTTATATAATGTGTATTTCAATGATCTTTCACATGAATCAAGTCTTGTTGAATGAGACTTCAGTTCATTTCCAGATGAAACAACTTCCTGATCCATCAAATCTTTAAAAAAGTTGATCCAACAGTTTGCTCGGCTTCTTCTAAAGTAAGACCACCACCCTTCGATTCTTTGATTGTGTTGAGATGTACCATACACATGAGACTGGTCATCATTTGTAAAGTAATTTTGTGCAGCTGCAACAAGTCCATTTTCCGTTCACCGGTCAGTTCGTGAATTTTTAGGGCTTCCATGGCACGACAGGAGTAAGTTTAAGAAAAGTTTAAGTATCGCTTGTGGATTTTTGTTTGACTGAGTCAAATACAGCCATAACATTTCACGACTGAAACCATCGATACACTCGTGAATGGAGAAACCAAACGGTTTCAGTTTATCATATCCATCCAAGAGCAAACAAAAATTTGGACACGCATTTACATAAACTCTCCGCCCTTAAACGATGATCTCGTCTTGTTTCACGACCTTCAGGATCTAATTCCTTTAACAACTCTTGAACTTTTTGCCACGGTATCATAAATACTTTCCTGCTAAGAATATGCAACATTCCCAATATCAGCCCAATCAACCTGGTCCACTAAGTAAGCGCATAATTCTTTCTCGTACTTCCAACTCATTGTATTCCCTCAATTTTCCAGAGAGCTCTAATGTTTTCATTCGGTTCTTCAAAGCTCGAACACAAATATGGACGTCATGAAATTTTGCGAAAATTCTGTTATCGCGTCGTATTTATAGCTTTGTTTAAAGTAGTACTTGATTGCTACAACCTCACAACACAATTTAATTACGCAGACTACAATATTTATCACGAAGTGCGACTCGAGCATTGCAAGAAGGACAATTTGCCATTTTGAAATTAACGAGAGATTTAAAATAACAATAATATAATAAGCAACATAAAGTACTGATCACATATGGGTCTGGCACGAATTGAAATTTTGACTTTAACGTGATGAATTTCAATTTAGTGTGATGAATTTGAATTTGGTGTGATGAATTTAATTTTAGTGTAATGACTTGAATGATGTTTTTGGCAACGGAAAAGTTTGACAAAAAACAATGGTGACTTTCCTAGTAGCTATTTAAAACATATCATTCTTTATTTGTTAAGAATAGACAAAATGATTGGAAAAGAACTGTTCAAACCATTTCTACGAAGTAAAAATGTTAATATAAGGTTACAAAATATGAAGATAACATCGCAGTTTATTACGATTTTTAGGAATTTCAATCAATTGAGCATGTACAGCCAGAAATTGTATGATTGGGAAAAATTGAATTTGGTTTAGAAGCAGTACAAAAATGATCATTAAGATTTGGAAGATCATCAATAGTTAAACAATGATTGTCATTTGTTAAAGTATAATGAACTCATCATGATCACATCATTCACGTGCAAGTACTGTGGACAAATCAGTGAACTCTGTTAAAGTGTTACCTTTGCAAATTTTTCGACCCCTCTTTAGTTTAGATGACGGAATTAAGTGAGAATAGCGGTATATTAAATAAGTTGAAGGGGGATTGAGTTGTCTTGGGTGTTAAAAGAGGGTTTAAGTTTGGATATAAGAAGGCTTTCATGAATCATAAGGTCATAATTATCGGAGGAGGAAGAGAGATATGAGAAGTCATTAAAATCGGCAGAGTGAGATGTATTTGTTATATGGAAATTGGTAAAGAGACCAGTGAAAGTGGGTTTACGATACACGGAGGTGGACTCTTTCTCTTTTGTACAAGATCTTTTACACAGTGACATTAACGCCAATAACGTTGTGATGGCGAGCTTTGATGTTAAAACGTTGTTCACCAACATCCCAGTGGATGAAACAATCGCTATAATAACCAATCACCTCTTCTCCAATAACACGTCCTTTCAAGGCCTTGACCGTTCACAATTCACTCAACTTCTCTCCCTCTTCGTCAAAAACTCTCATTTCTTTTTTAATGGTCAAGTTTATCAACAGATTGATGGTGTGGCTATGGGCGGCCCCCTAGGCCCTCTATTTGCTAACATATTTATGTCCTTCAACGAGAATTCATGGCTTCACAACTGTCCCTCCACTTTCAGCCCCCTTCTTTACCAACGTTACGTTCATGATTGCTTTCTACTCTTCCGATCATTGGATAACATGCCTCTTTTCCTTACCTATTTCAACCACCAACATCCTAACATCTCCTTTACATCTGAACTGGAAAAAGACAACGCACTCCCCTTTCTTGACGTAAAAATAACTCGCTTAAACGGCAAGTTTTCCACCTCCGTGTATCGTAAACCCACTTTCACTGGTCTCTTCACCAATTTCCATACTTTTATTCCCATTCAATACAAACGCTACTTAATCTCTCTCTTTACTTCACAGAATTTTCAACCTCTGTTCCAGCTATGATCACTTTCATACCAAACTAGAAGTTGTTAGAAAATTT